AATCAAATGGTGCTTTTCTAAAAAGAAATACTTAAATATTCATAAAATCTGATTTAAAATCGGATTTAACGATACTACTAAATTGGCATATTAGCTCTTATTGTTTAGATATTGAAACAGCCAGGTATAACGATAAGTTCGCTTATAATATATTGGAGAAACAAGTAGAAGTTTGAAAAAACGAATTTATGAAAACAAAAGAGACCTCACAAAAAACAACTTAGCTAATGCACTAGTCATACATAGAATTAAATTCAACCAAGATTTTGATTTTAAAAATGCTACATTCATAAAAAAAGAAAATAATTCACTCAGAAGGAAAATTCTGGAGAGCGCCGCCATAGAAAATTACCCAAATATTAATCTACGCCCAGGTTTTTTCCCCATTTCACCTTTCTTAACAAAATTATTGCTCTTACAAACAAATATGCACAACAGATTCATAAAATCAAAAGAAAATGGTTGAATACATCAACACAGATATAACTAGCAGTAGAGCCCGGCGTTGCCCGGGGATGTAACAGTTAGAGATAGATCAAGTATCGACCATCATAAAAACTGAAAAATAAAATTGATAAAGATTATTGTTTAAGGTTTATGGACACGCATGTCTTAATTAGTTTTTTTTTTTTTTTTTACGAATTGGTCAAACCCAAACTCAAACAAAACATTGTTTTCAATCGTTATGAGTCTATCGATTGAATAGAATTTTATTATAAACAATTGTCTTGTAAATGGATTTTTTAAAGCATTCTGAATGTAAAAAAATAAAAAAAAAAAGTGTGCAAGACAATAAAAAAACTACTGCCCCCAAAAAAAGTGAAGTTTTGTTGAAATTTGTTGAAAAATGTAGGAAATCCGATCCAATATATAAACGTACACACACACACACGCACACACACACAACCTGGGTTTTACAATAAGTATGATGACAATATTCTCCACACGTGACAAATACTGACGTTATTTTTCAGTTAAAAAATATGAAAATAGCGTTTCTCTACATTCCAGTTGCTAGGTACATTCTGTTTTTGTTTTTATTAGTTACTTTGTTCATTTAATTTCATTTTCGTATTTTGCTTTGATAAAGTCCACATTGTACGAAACGCGTCAGCAATTACCAGTTTTCCTATTGTCATTTTTTTATTCATATATATATATATATATATATATATATATATATATATATATATATATATATATATATAAAAGAGAGAGGTGATGGGAGATAGAGAAATAGAGAATTCTTAGGTAATCAAGATACTCGTGTGTTAAATAGACGTGTTTTGGATTTAGTATGGAGACAGGAACCGAATCATCATTCTATAAACTTCTATTTTTTGAAAGACTTTTAACTGTTTTGGGCGATGGACTTTGTATGCCGAGTAATACTGTATTGATAGTGCGATATCTGTTTGCATTGTTTATGACGTGTTACCCAAATGTTTCAGAGATATCCCCATGAAGAAAATGATATCAGCTAGCACCTAGTTTTCAATGTCTTCATCGAAGTAATCCCATTGGACATTTTACACAGCGATCTGACAAGTGCCACTGCTGAAAAGGGTAGCGGCAAGTGTCTGTACTACATTGTACTATTTCCCCATCCTCTGGGGTACTACTTCATACATACAATTTCAGGTTCTCAGTCCTTTTTTTTTTTCAATTTCAGTTTTCATGTTTGGGTGGCATCGATATGCTCTAGTACTATTATCATCTTGCTTGGCATGGAATTATTAAAATATGATTAAAAGTATTAATATCAATTACATATAAATTAAGAAAATGCTAGAATCTAGCAGAAAATAAAGAAATCAAAACCACTCTTTCTTCCGTATGAAGCAAATAATAACATAATCATGATGAGTTGCTTTCAATCATTATATATATATATATATATATATATATATATATAATGAAAAACAGACCACTTTAAGGTACTATTACAATAATTTATTTCACCAGAGTCCTTTTAAAAGGACGCCGGATCATCAGGTAACACTTCCAACAACGAAATGAAACGAAAAATGAGATTAAAATTGATGGGTAGTGTAAGTTTTTGTAATTTAACAGGAGGGGGTGAGGGGGATAGTTAAAGAGACAATGTAGAGTATAGGGAGGGGTTAATTTCATATCTCTCTTACGTGTGCTTTATATTGGGGTAGGAGGAGTGACCAGACCTTGACCTATTTAGATGGTTAAATATTTAATATCTATGGTATTAAAATTACCCATACGGTTTACCAAGTTCTTCATAACTTAACTATATATATATATTGAAACATGAGACCTCTTATGTTGCGAGTTGAAATCATATTTTAAATAAATAATTATATATATATATATATATATATATATATATATATTATGAAATGGACAACAATTATTTTAATTTATTTATTGTTTATAGCCTACTTATATATACACAAGTATTTAAGTAAATAGCTTTTAATAAATAGTATTAACATTTACAAGCCTGAATGTCCAAGAAATTACATAGACATTATGTGTCCCTTGACAGGAATCAAACGTGTATCCTACACAGAACCATCAGATAGCCTGATATGCTATACCATTTAGCTGCAGAGGAAGCATCGGGATAGCAAGGTCGAATTACTGCTTTGTCGGTAGCTAAATGGTATAGCATGTCAGTCTATATGATTGTTCCATGTAGTATACCGGTTCGATTTCTACTCTATATCAGTGACAGGGGAAAATTATTAATTAATGTATATCAAAGACTTAAAATACCATAGATATTAAATATTTTAAGCATTTGATATTAATTAATTAATTAATTAATATATATATATATGTGTGTGTGTGTGTGTGTGTGTGTAAATTAAATTAAGGTTCCATAACTATAATTTATTTCCCCAGAAAATAAATTTTTCCTGGTTCATCAGGTCCCATCTCTATTTACAAAGGAATTTGGTTTACAAATTTACATGTTTTTATTTTATTTTTAATACAAGTTTTTGATGTATAGTTTTCGATTGACGTAAGATGACAGCGGGAGTAGGAACGGGGACAGTAGAATGATCTACATTAGAAATGGAAAGTAGGGATAGGGTGTGTTTAAATCCATCTTTATTAAGTTAAGTATGTTCATGAGTACTAAGTCAAGAAGCCAGACAATTTGACCTCTTTAAATATATATATATATATATATATATATATATATATATATATATATATATATATATATCCACTTACGGGTGTGAAGATCCACAGTAACTCCAACAAAGTCCTTAACAGATGATGACAATGGGATAAGGTTTGGTTTTATTGCTGAAGCAATGTTAACATAAATCCAAACCATTACGTTACAATAGCACCATGACTTCATGTTTTTTCCCCCAGAGTCAGACTACTGCATTCATGTATATACAGCCTGCTTAATCATGGAGATTCTTAATATAATCCAAATTTAGGTAATCATGCAAAATTCTGGTTGGTAAAAGGATCTTGACATCCAACTGGAAAGGAAATACGATGCCCTGAGTAATCAAGAAGGATAGACATGATGATATTGAACCCAAATATCTGCAGGAAGAATAGAAGTTGCATGATTTATTGCCCCTTATTTCTTATGCATGATCACCATGACCATCACCTCTGTGGGGTCTGCACTTGTTATTCCTCCTGTTCTGAATTCATTTAGACTTGGATTAGGTAGTGTGATATGTCCCGGAAAGGGATATATTTGTTCGAAGTTGCAAAGTGGTTTTGGACTACTGTAACCAATCTAGCAGCTAACCGTAATAACTGGTCCTCGTCATAGTGGTAGGCAATAGGCATAGGCAATAGGCGAAGACAATAGACGTAGCCAATAGGCATCTTCTGTACCTCCACATCAGTCTGTATTTATGGCTGATACCAGCCAATCATATTACTGTAAGGTGGAACCCAGGTGTATGCATATTCATTACATCATAATAGTAACACCATATGGAAATATACACTTTCCTTTTCACTAAGAGAGTGACAAAGAAAACTATCTCTCTCTATTTATCTCTCTATATCTCTCTTCTTTATTACACATACTTATTTTCCTTACTTTCATTATTTCTTTTCCTTGGTAACTGACACAACCCAGACATAGCTTATGTGGGACAGTGAATATTATAAAAAAATCAATCAATGACAACACGTCCTGCCAAAAATCAAATGGAAAACATAGATGTATCAGGCCCAATAAAAAGAAGAAAAAAAAACACGTGTTAAAGAAGAAGAAGAAGAAGAAGCAGAAGAAGAAGAAGAAGAAGAAGAAAAGGGAAACTGGTTCGATGTAGCATTTCAAGACATAAGGTTTGTGAGTTTGACCGGACATACAATTCCAGAAGAAAAAGAAGAAGAAAGGAAGAATTCAACAAATTAATTTCTGTCAGCATCAATGACCCTGTATGAACACTTAAATCACAAAAATGACTAAGATGATAGTCATACACTTTAACCACTCTAACCAAATAGAATCACCATCCTGTGAATGACGATAAACTACATCTGCGTCCTGAGTAAGACAATAAACTACGTCCGGCAGCAAGGCCTCTGATCAGGAGGTTTTGAGGAGCATGAAACCACCTCTTAATTGCTAGTGTTCCCAAGTCCGCCATGACCTGGGGTGGTAGCACCTGTTAGGGCCCCAGCTATGGGCAAATAGTTAACTCTCAAACAGGGTAAAAACACTATGAAAGTGTAAAAATACGTTTTAATACAAGAAGTACTTTGTCAAAAATTATTACCAGCAATAAATTTTTGAAGAAAAAATATTACTAGAAATAGATTTTTGACAAAACAAACTATTACCAGCAATAAAAATTGACGGTATTAAATAACCCATTGAGGTTGATATGCCATAAAAAACAAAAACAAAAACAAAAAAACAAACCAATAGATAGATAGATAGATAGATAAAAAAATATAACCAGCAATAAAAATCTTGTTGGAATTAAATAACCCATTGAGGTTGATATGCTGTAAAACAAAACAAAACAAACCAATAGATAGATAGATAGATAGATAGATAGATAGATAGATAGATAAAAAATATAACCAGCAATAAGAATCTTGTCTGCATTAAATAACCTATTGATGTTGATATGCCGTAAAACAAAACAAACCAAACCAAACCAAATGGAGGCAACAATAAAATGGTACTATAGATAGTAAATTTGGCCTTTTACTTATGTATAAGCCCAACCTTCATCTTTATTTATCATAGACTCAATGTTCTTATCTAAGAAGAATTACAAAGTTCTTGAGGTTATTCAGCAAATGCCTTGAACAGATTACATTTTATCAGACCTCTACTGACCTGTCCACATTATGTATTACTTGGATCTGATCTTCTCATGCAACTCACCTTGAACTCAATGATCCTCATCAACTTGCTGTAGTCTTAACTCACTGATCATATCCTGGACATACTGGATGAATTATGACATCTAAATAGTGTGTAACAAAATGGAAAAGAAATTGTTAATAGGAAGACTTTTTGCATGACAGCTTAATTTGCTGCCTCAAAGAAATATCCCCCTATAATAATATACAATTTTTAACATGTTTTTGTTTTAATGTCCTATAATAAATATTATCCATTACTCCAATATAATGGACAACAGCCCAGACTGAGGAATCGGATAGCTGAGTTCAAATATTTTTTGGATTCATTACGTTCACTTACATGCAAATACCCTTTGAAAAGGTATGGATCCTTTTCTGCTCTCCCTAGCTATGGGTAAATAGCAGAACAGACTGGGTTCTATAAACTTGGGTGGCAACTGGTTTAGGGGAAGGAAAAACTCTGAATTCAAAACAGGCTCGGAGAGGGTTGGGCTACATCAGGTTATCTTGCCCAAGAAACACCACTTATATATATATATTAAGTTAATATATATTAACCTAGAAAAGGTTTACTGAATGAGGAATAACCAAAACGGAGGTTGGAAATGAAATGGTAATCTTTATAACATCAACAAAATACAATACTCGCCAGCAGCGTGAATTAGGTAAACCACTGCTAGTGTGGACTACTTAGACAGCATATTACCTCCACCTACAATATTGGTATTTGTATTTATGAGGATTGGGATATTCACATTAGTGTTCATAGGTATATTATATATATATATATATATATATATATATATATATATATATATATATATATATATATATATATATGAACATAATGAATATCCCAACCCTCATAAATACATTATACTATATATATATATATATATATATATATATATATATATATATATATGAAAAATGGCCAATAGACTAGCCAAAAATACTTGGTAGGGACAATCATTTGGACACTTTCTACACACAAAAAGTCCAAAAAAGAAATTGTTTGTTTGCACGCAAGAAAGAAAGAAATGCATAATAAAAACCTAAATGAAGTACTTTTTCATTCACTTTTAATACATGTATTAGAGAGACATTGCTAGCCAGATAGATAGATAGATAGATAGATAGATAGATAGATAGATAGTGAATATAGATAGATAGATATAAACAGACTAAAGTAGATAGATAGATAGATATAGATAGATAGATAGATAGATAGATAGATAGATAGTGAATATAGATAGATAGATATAAACAGACTAAAATAGATAAAAATAGATAGATAGATAGATAGATAGATAGATAGATATAAACAGACTAAAGTCTGATAGATAGATAGATAGTGAATATAGATAGATAGATATAAGCAGACTAAAGTAGATAGATAGATAGTGAATATAGATAGATAGATAGATAGATATAAACAGACTAAAAAAATAGATAGATAGATAGATAGATAGATATAAACGGACTAAAGTAGATAGATAGATAAATAGATAGTGAATATAGATAGATAGATAGATAGATAGATAGATAGATAGATATAAACAGACTAACGTAGATAGATAGATAGATAGATAGATAGATAGATAGATAGATAGATAGATGTTTGTGCATGTATATTTGTCTTTTTTATAATTATATATATTGCGCATTTTCCATTCAGATTATCTGGTTATTCATTAAGAACTAAAACTATTGCTGAAACTATCTTTCTACCATCTTTTTACTGTTATATATTCAAAAGTGCACAAAACAGAGAACTTTGTTAAAATGGTGTCATTTGCATTATGCATTATATGAGGAATACACGCTCATGCAAGAAAACCTACAATATTTGTTGGTTAGCTAATGACAACCTTAACATTGTCACACATTTAATATGAAGAAAGTGATGAATTCACCAATTCAGTGTAGCTCCCATGTTATTTCAGGGTAGAGTGGAACCTTTGTTCATGAATTTAATTTGTTCCTGAAGCCTGTTCATAACCCTAAATGTTCGTAAAGCGAAACTACAAGTGGAATCAATGTAAAATGGATTAATCTGTTCCTGGTACCAAGATGATTGCTTATTTAAACTTTCACAAAATACTTCGTGCACAAGTTTATACACAAAACTAATGAAAATCATTAAATCTAAGAAATAAATAAATAAACCCAATACTAAATAGATAAAATATGGACAAACACTTTAATTTAACATACTTGTAAGTTGGAGAGTTGATGGCATAAGAGGAAGGTGTTGTGGAAGGGGAAGAAAAGAGATGTTATTGTTTGGAAAGTTGAAGGAAAGACATGATTGTCTCTTTACTTATTCGAATAGTACAGATCGTTGATTTTGCCATACTAAATTGAGTAGGAAGAGAGAATATCAAATTTTCCTTTACCAGTATCACAGCTAGTTTTATTTGGAGCCATGACTAAAGACTAATAAAGAGAAAAAAAAGATACAGTACAATATTGTCTTCCCTACTGGTTAAATCGGAGAAATTTTCATACAGTACAATAAAATTGGAAAAGAAAAGCACAGCAGAACACACAAATGTATACAACATGGCAGTCAACTCAGAAATAATTATGTTCGGGTTAACATGGTTCACTAATGTTGTTCGAGAACCAAAATCTTGTTTATTTTTATCCTAAATTTTCTGTTCAAAAACAGATCTGTTCAATATGTGAGGTGTTTGAGAATCGAGGTTGCTCTGTGTTACCAAAAACGACTTAATATCAAACATATATGATATATTTTGAAAACACTTCAATTACAATGCTCATTTAGCTAAAATGATTCATTTTGTGTTATCCAAAATGATAACATTTCACAAAATCTCATAGTAGATGATATAAATAGAACAGACAGTGAACAAGTGGTTTGACTCAAACACAAATAATCATAAAATAACACATAAATTGTTTTAAAAAATTAAGCAAAAGGAATAAATAATTTTAAGTTTTAATATTTTAATTTTAATTATACACCCTTATGCAAATTAATTGAAACAACCACATTAGTTTCCTTTCTTTCACCATACGGTCAGTTTTAGACCCACTGGAGTGACAGGTGTAATTGATTTCTATTTTTTTACTCAGATTAGGTCATTTGCAGTGGTGTGAAGTAATATGAATCTATTTTGATGAAATTTGTTTGGCATTGAAAAATATTGCATCATCCATGATTGCATCAGATTTTTATCACACCCAGACACTATTGTCTCTACTGTTAATTAGTTGTCCTATGTCCATTCTCTGCAATGGATGTTACTTCAAGGAAGCATATGAAAACTGTAACACTGCACAATAAACTGGCAAGCATTACCAGTGAGCAAGTACTATAGACTGGCCTGGAAACTCTCCTGATTTAAATCCAATCGAAATCTGTGGTCAATCTGCAAGGAAAGACTTTGTGAAATGGACATACAAAGTACCAACATGTGCTCTGGGTTATGTTTCATTGGAAATATACGAAAAAATTGTAAATAATAACTGAATTATTCAGTGTGTTTCAATTAGTTTGCACAAGGGTGTAAATTTAACAGTGCAATTGTTAGGGATAATCATAGGGTTTGGTTTTGTTAGGGATCCCAATAGTCTATGGTTTTTGTACTAGACTATTTTCAGAGATAAAGACAGACTATGCTATTGTTAGAGGATTATTTTTTAACTTTCTCTTCCTCTATTTTTCAAGAAAAAATATGAGTTGCACAAAGATTTTGCTACCTGTCACTACCAAATGACTTCTTCGTAATAAGTTTAAGATATGAAATATAATGTATTGAAATGGATTCATCCTCTCAAAAATGCCTTTTTCGATCAATTTGCCATGACAGACAGCTGTCTTTTGTGAAGGGGAAAAATTATTAAAGCCATTTAAATGGATTTGTGAGATTGTAATGACATGGAAAAAGCACACTTTTACACCCACCTTTCTTTTTTATTGTCATGGTTACTCACATTCTTACGTCATTTTCTGATAGATGCATAGCTTTATGGTGGAATTATAATTCTTAGATATGCACACGCAAACACACATGTGTCCTGAGTAAGACGATAAACTACATCCGACAGCAAAACTTTTGATCAGGAGGTTTTGAAGAGTGTGGAATCACTTTTAATTGCTGGTGTTCCCAGGTCCAACTTGACCCAGGGTGGTAGCACCAGTCAGGGTCCCAGCTATGGGCAAATAGTTAACCTCCGGAAAGGGGTCAAAATACTATGAAAATATAAAAATAGGTTTTAATACAAGCAATATTTTTTTGAGAAATTATTACCATCAATACATTTTTGAAGAAAAAATTATTCCCTGCAGTACATTATTAGCAGCAATACATTGAAAAAAAATTATCTGCAATGTATTTTTGGAAAAAAAATATTACTGTCAATAAAATTCTTGTCAGCCTTAAATAACCCATTGAGGTTGATATACTGTAAAACAAACCAAACAGACACACACACACACAAACACACACACACACACACACACCAAAACTCACACAGACATACATGCACACATATATTATGTATGTATATTTATATATATGTTTGTATTTTGTGTATATGTATAAAGGATGCTTGAAAAATTATGAAAAACATTATCTCATCTAATATAAACACATTCACATATATAATGTGCATGCAAATATACACTCACATACATACATACACAAGCTCATGCACACACACGTGCACACACACGTGCACACATGCACATATATATTTGCTATT